TTGAAATTGAAAATACTGCAAAATATCTCATGAAAGAATTTGAAATGAAAAACGTTGGGAGAACAAAATTTTATCTCGTCATTCAAATTGAACATTTGAGAAATGGTATTTTTATTCACCAATCAAACTATACCAAGAAAATTTTGAAGCGGTTTTACATTGATAAACCACACCCGCTCAATTCTTCAATGATGTTTCGATCTCTCAATGTGAATGATGATTCTTCTGACCCTGATGAATAAATCCTTGGTCGTGAAATAATATATTTGAATGCTATTGAAGCATTAATGTATTTGACTAATAATACTTGAGTAGATGTTGCTAGCTTTTTCTATAAATTTATTAGCCAGATATATTGAAGGTCAAAGGATGTTACATCAAAAGGGATAGAACAAAGCATATAGCATCATAACTTTTCTCCACACATGATCTTGAGAAAGACGGAACGGTTGATGCCAGACAAATAAAGTCATGAGACAACCCTGCTGATTTATTCACAAAGTCATTGGCACCGAAGAAATTTGAAGAACTGGTCCACAAAATTGGAATGTGCCGTCTTCGCGATATATGTTAAATTGAGGGGGAGTAATATAATGCACTGCACTCTTTTTCCCTTCGTCAGGATTTTTTTTCCCACAGGGTTTTTCCTGACAAGGTTTTTAACGAGACAGTACATTATAATACTATGAAACTAATACCCAGAATAATTAGAAGATGACCATTCAAGGGGGAGTGTTGAAATATTATTGAATTAGTCATCTTCCAACTATTCCTGATTAGGAATTATTATCACCATTATATAAATAATCAGGAAATCATAATTATGATTCTAGATGATAATTGTGTGGTACACAATTATCTTCTAATCCTAAGGAGTTTAGTTTTTCTCCTATAAATAGGAGTGTTCTTCTTCATTGTAAAGACACTTCTTAAGCACCATTACAACACTATTATCACACTCTCAATAACATAATCTATCACTAAGTGTTCATACTATACTTTCTCTCCCTGATCTTCTGCTTATTTCCTTCCATATTATAACATACTTGGAATTGTTTGGATCCAAAAGAGCAAGATAATGTTTCATCCCGTTTGAACCACCTAACGCCTCATTTTAATATAGTAATCTGATTCATTTAACCGCAAGTGTATACAATATTGTAAGCTAGCCATAATTGTATTTCGGCTTCACAAACCATAAAATAACTAGAGCTATCAATATATGTAAATGTCAATTAATTCAAAAATAAATTTAATTAGACGTCCTTTTAATCCTTTGTGTCATTGGTACAAGCAGGGGTGGCGCCATGGCGGACCGGCGGTAGAAGGTCATTCAAAATTCGAAAATTATTTGTATTTTTAGTCAAAAAAATTATCTAAAAATCTTTAGAGCCCATCACGACCTTCGCTCGTGGTTATAATTATGTGCTCCTCCTTAGAGGTGGACTCGTTACGGCGGTCCGGCCCAGGCTAGAACCGGGTCTGACACTGTTTGGGATTGCACGCGGTCCGAAACTTTTGGTTTCGGGCCTAGGACCGACCTATTCGCCCAAGAGCGGTTCATTGTCCCGGTTCACGTACTTGGCAACCGAACCAGGCGTTCCGGTCCTGGACAACCCATTTTTTTAAGCTTGAGATTGAGGAAAAACCAAAAAAGTAACGGGTCCGGGTGGTCCCGGACCGCCTGGCTACCCAGAACTAGCCCAAACTCAGAAAGTAGCGGGTCAGTCTCGGCCGACCAATTTTTTTTAGGTCGGGCGGTCTCAGCTCGAAACCGGGACCGGACTGACCTGGGTTCATCCCTACTCCTCATTGTTTTACTTTTAGTTTATTTGTCATTTGTCAACTGATAAGACATGACTAGGTTCGAGTCTATTTTCCTGAATTCTAGTAAGATTAGATTGTTAATCCTAAATAAGCTTGTCCAATGTCCATGACCATGATTAACAAATAATTAAATAAATTTAGTCGATGTTACACGGAAGGGGTGAGTTGCTGAATCGTGTGAAAGACTTGTAGTGGGTGTCACGTTTGGCTGGAATGTAAATGAGTGCCCACATATGTACGATTTGGAGAATAAAAAAAAGCATGCATCAAAGGCAAGTCAATTTTAGAAAGTTATAAGTCAAACGTAGCTGGAAAGGGTATCAATAACGAGTATGGATTGGGTTTTTAAACGCGCCAGACATTAGCGACCTACAGGAAGGACGCACAACTATTTCATTTTTCACTTGGGTCTTTGGTAAACTGGTGCGGTCCAATGATGTTTGGAATATTCAAACTCTTCGCATATTATGAAGCTACTAATTTATGCCCTCCCTTAACCCCTCCCTTAAACAATTATGAGTTTCAAATATATTTTTGTCTTTTCATATGAGGTTGATATGAGCTTGTGATACAAAAACATTTTTTTTTAAATACGATGCGCAAAGTCTACTTTGGACAATAAAATGAGATGTAAATTCAAATTACCCCTTTACAATAGAGGAAATTCTCAAAACACGGGATTTTTTTGCAACACACGCTAAAACACGGGACTTCAAAAAATTGGACAAAAACAAGGGAATCGGAATTCCATTTTAAGAATCCAATAAAACCAAGGCTGGGGCGCACGGGTAGGGGAGGTGGGTGGGGGGCTGGGTAAAATATAAAACCACATTTTTTTATTAAGTAATGTAACTTTTATTTTTGTCCTCCATTTTTTTATAAAATATATATCAAAATTCATAACTTTTTATTATCTTTCATATGACACCAATATCTCATATAAAAAGGTTAAAAACAAAATTGAAGTTTCAACCATATGTAGTTTTTAGTTTCAACAATTATCTTAAATAGATGAGCCTAATAAATAGATCCAAGTGCTAAAATAAAATATCATTTTTAAAATAATTGAAACATGCAAAAAAAGTTAGGGGTTAATAATGTGATCCTAATTTTAGCATTTGATTCTATTTAGGAAAAGATTTGGATTTGAAAACTTTCTACATTTAAAACCTCAAAAATATAAAATAAATTTTATATATGAGATATTGGTGTCATTAGAAAGATCATAAAAAATTAAGAATTTCAATATATTTTTTGTAAAATTTGGAATAAAAATAAAGAAGTTATATTAAATAATAAATAAATGAGATTTACACATGTTTGCCAACCCCCTCCCCTCCCAAACCACCCAATCATCCCATTCGGAAACCCTCTTTCCGAATCCCTCAATCTTAGAAACACTAATCAAAATCCCGTGTTTTTGCTCTGCTTGTTGATAATTCCCGTTTTCTAAGAAAACACCCCTTTACAATATCACAATTTAGAGTTTGGAAAAAATCCTGAAATAGGACTAAAAAGGTTTGAAAATTCTAAAATAGGATTGTCATGTTTTTATTCCCAAAATAGGACTAATTACTGTCAAGTTTGGAAAATACTGTCATGTTTGAAGTCTGGTACTACCAAAACATGACAGTAATTAGTCTTATTTTGGGAATAAAAACATGGAAGTCCTATTTTGGAATTTTCAAACTTTTTTTGTCCTATTTCGGGTAATATCTCTTTAGGGTTTTGATAGGGAAAAAAACTAGATTGCTAAAGCTAGCTTGTCATCTTTTTGAATTGCAAAAGAAAGGCAAAAAGGAAATGAAGAAACCAAAACCCTCATAGATACATACTGTTGGAAAAATGTGTGAAAAATTGCATTAAATGGTAATTTTAGGGCAATTTTTTGAGTGGGTTCCACTTCCGATTTGGGTCGGGTCAAAGTGGTTTCGGATTGTCCTTGTTAAGGGCTACAATTCGATATATGGTACGCTCAAAATGGATAACGGGTGAATGAGAAATCGCTTTTCGAAGTTTACCCGTTAGAATAGAAAAACTGGGAAAAAGGATGAGTTTCTAGTGTGTTAATTTCCCACACCGGAAAACCCAAGGGATTTGCAACCCTTTATAAAGGGACTCCCCCCTTATGGAGTTAAGATTCCTAAGGGTAAAGGCTCTCTCCACGCGCGCAGGGGGGGGGGGCAAATCAAATCCCGAAATCGGAGAAGAAAAACCGCGACTTGCGTGCGCGGGCGACCTGCGGACAGAACACCTTACGAGGTGTTCTGTTGGGAGGTCTTCTGGTCGCGCTCTGAACCGTTACAGCAATAAATGCCCAACGTTCAGGTCCATTAATTCACCATTTACACACAACAAATCTTCCTATATATAGGCTGGCAGGTGGTTTGCAACAACACACGTTTTTACACGTTCTTGCTTACACGAGCTCACGTATTTCTTCAGCTAAAAACACCTCCAGTCTCTCTGAAAAATTCCTAAGTGTTCATACTGGGTTCTCGTTCGCTGGAACTCTTGTTTGTGTGCTCAAACACTAGTTCGTAGTCATCGTATCCTGCGAAACGATTGTTGCAACGCTCCTAGCACCGTGGGAGGCAACAAATACGTTTTAAGGACATCGTGCGTAGCACGAGCTTTGACTAATTCTGCTTCATCTCCTTTCTTGTTTTTCTCTAGTCATTTTATTTAATTGATTTATTTTAATTAATTTTCTTTATTTTCTGAAACACACCCAACACATACATACTATTATACATCCATGTTTGGGTGCAAGAAAATTTTGTTAGATAAATTCGCATAAATAGTTAAAATTGTTTCACTTCCATGACTCCGCCAAATTGGATTTTGTGATCAATTTCTCTTGTTCTCTAAAATTTTCTCACCTTCTCTTTATAATAAATAATACTCCGTACTATCGTACATAGTACTTCCTCCGTTCCTTTTTAATTGCAACAGTCAACATTTCACGTTTGCCAACGCACGGGTTTGACCATTAATATCTTTCATTCCTCATTAGTAAAAAAATTAAAAAATTCATATTTTGAAAATTTAGAATGAGAAGAATTTAACAATATTTTTTTAAAATTTAAGTTATAATACATTAATTAATAAAATATAGTCAAAGTAGGATATGTGAATAGTGCAAAAAGTCCAACGTTGCAATTAAAAGAGAACGGAGGTAGTATTTGATTTTACTCATTTTTCGATTTTTTACATCACTTTTAACCACATAATTTTCACTTTTTATCGCACGTCTAATACAAACGTGACAAAAATCAATGAGACGGAGGTAATACTTTTTATTATCGACTTCTCGTATATGACTAGTGTAGGTTGTTGAGCTGAGGGTGCACATCACACGCTCGTGTCGAGAGTGTGAAGTTCATCCCAAAAGGATCCCAAGTTGTCATCTCCGCTGTCGTTATAGAGGTACTCGCAATTGTGTTCATAGAAGTCATTATTCCTGCCGTCAAAGGAATCGGAAAAGTAGTGTTTCGGCGGCGATGAAAGCGGAGGCGGAGATGATGATGACGATCGGACAGAGTGGTCGTGGTGATAGTTAAGGCGGGCGAGGAGGTTTGACTGTTGGTATTGCATGTTGACTACCTCGGCTTGAGCCTTGGCTAGCTGTTCTTGGAGGACGCTGACTTGCTTTTGGAGTTGGAAAATTGCTCCGGCGCAGCCGTACACCGGATCTCTCAGCCGTGCGTTGGCCTCGTACACCATGCTGCTCACGGCGTCACTTCTTTCACTCTCCGGCAATTCCTAAATATTATGATCAAGACACATGGAAGAACACATAATTTAGTCATTGATAATTTTTTAAATTTAAGATGTAGTTAGACATGCATTAATGATAGAAAGAACAAATGTAGTGTCCCATAATTCTGGAATTGGAATTGGTTGAATTGGGCTGAAATTGATGAAATTATAGTTAAAATGGTTGAAATATGCTACATTGTGAGAAAAAAAATATTAAAATATGTTTTCCAATAAAATTAAGAATAAAATATACGATAAAATAGTTAGAATGATCATCTATATTAAATTCAGTCAGAAAAACAATTTAAATTCAGGTTGAAAAACAATTTGAACTTAATTATTGTTACTATTAATCAATTTAGCATCCGAAATTTATACGTAGTTAAATAAGTAAAGGGTATTTATATATTTTCATAACATAATATTTGTTAAATTATGAAAGTAGGATAAATAATAAAAGGGGAACCCGTACGTTGTGGTATATTAATTGGTACTTGATTAATAAGTGATCTATGCACCTAAAATGAATAGCATCCACTGGTGTCATCAATTTATCATTTTCTTATATTTGAATGATCTATTTATTATAATGTTTTGATTAATGGATAGTAGAATTTGCACAATAATTTATGTAACAAACGTCTTTACAAATTTCGCAAGTGGACACCATATTTATATTCTGTAGTATCCATGTGGATAATGTGAACACCCTAATGAATAAAGTATGAACAAGATGCATATGGTTGCCAAAATAAAGAATAAAATACATTGGTTGAAATTATGTGACAAATAATTAAGCACGAATCTCAATTATGACTTTTCAAGGTACGAGGATGAGTTTATTAATGTGTGGAATTGATCGAAGTTATGACTAAATACTCCATTTTCATGAACGATGACAGATTATTTAGATTCTGAAATCTCTACTCTACTACCTCGTAGTATAACTAGCGCAAGGAAGAGCATTTCAAAATACGAAACTGACGGAGTGTTATTCATTTTACTTTACAAATACTTCGTATGAACTATCTTGAATAAAACTACTTTAACTAAGTTTCATATATTTTATTTACTTTATTAATCTATATTTACGTATTTCAAATTGGATGTATACCTTAATTAGGAAATTCGGTGAATTCAAATATAATACTATACTCCGTATATATTATTATTTTCATCACACTAAACAAATTTTAGTAACAAAACACCACGCATGTAAAAATTGATTTACCAGACCACAACAATCTATGAGACATGTTATTATGTTAAGTAACGATTAACTATAAAAAAAGACAATATAGCTCACGTATGAAATTAAACCTTAAGGTTTAATCACAGGTTATAATATTATTGGGGACAGTTCCCGAAATAGTAGTAAAAATGTTGTTGAATAATGTCACAAAGCTGAGGTGATTAGTCTTAATTTATTTACAAAATAAATTATAATTATCCTGTTTTAGAATTAATTCACAGACTTTTTACTCCTATGAATTTCTTGAAGTATTACTAGTTAAATTAGGTAATACACACTTGATAATTAGGTAACCACTAACTGCTCTCACCTAATCTTTCGACCACTACTATTAATCCAGTTGTCGTTATAAGTACATGGCATTGGGTTTGGAATAGTGTTACAAACGACGCAATATAGGGATTTTTATTTATTAGAATGTGTGTACATAATTCTTTTAGAGACGTTTCTAAATAAGTTCTTATTTTATACCGGAGCATTTAGTTAAGAGATTTTTATTCTCAAATAATAATACCGGATTATATGCATGCTATAAGCATTAGTATTAAAATTACCATTTCGCAGTAATACTTATACTTACTCATAAAAAGTCGTATAGAGATTGTGAAAATGAGTAAAAACGTTTTGAAATTCCAAAATAGAACATTCATGTTTTTATTCCGTAAATATGAGTAATTTATGCCAAGTTTGGAAAAAGTTTGACAGAAACTGTCATGTTTAAAGTCTGATAATATTAAACTTGGCAGAAATTACCCTTATTTGGAGAATAAAAACATGACAGTCATATCTATATTAAGAGAAGGTGAGGAGCTAAAAAATAAAGAATGAAGTTTATTGATAGAGTAATAATAAATGGACGAGGATTTGAAATAATGAGAAACTAACCTGCAAGAATTTGATGATATTGCTAGCGCCGAAGACACGGTGAGCGGTGGTAAACTTGATGGGATCATTGGGAGGAAAATACGGCGCCAGCACACATTTCCCGGCGCATCTCCGCCGCAAAACCTTACATGCGGCACACGGGCTCACCACCACCGCCGGCAGCGGCGTGGTGGGGGACGACGGTGAAGATGGCGGCGAGACGGAGCGAGAAGATGTGAGCCGAGAAATGGTTGCCGCCGAGGTATCAGCTGACCCCATTATTATCCCGTCCGTATTTTGTTGATAAAATTTGAGAGCATGCAAATTAAAAGAGATCGATGGTTGATGTGTAAAACGTTTTGGTCGTTGAATGAGTTTATATAGAAGATAAATGAGCGAGCCTAGCTGGCCACTGTGGTCATAATTAATGTCATCACCTGTGAGTCTGTGACTTCAGATTTTGGTCATATTTCCCCGACCAATTTATCTCAAAATGAATTTAATTTATTTATATAATTAATTGATATAGTCTTTGGGGGTGTATTGAATATGGATTGTGGTGGACTTTTTTTTAATCCACGGACTTCTGAAAAAGTCTATAGACTTCTAAAAAAGTCTATGGACTTTTAAATCCATAGACTTTTAATCCGCTGACTTTTAAATCCGTAGACTTTTAAATCCGTGGACTTTTAAAATAAATGACTTTTAAATGAATGACTTCTATGGATTTCAATAAATCCATAAACTTTTACTTGGACTTATCAAAGCAAACCAGACTTTAATAAATAAGAATCGCTACATAGAAAATATGACAAATATAATAGCTAATGTTCTCTATTTGGAATGAGGTGAAGCTTAAGCATTAAAAAAATATAAGAAAAAAAAATAAAGTCATCAACGCACAAAATGGGAACAAACGTCTTGTGCTACTGAACTATGGATCAAAATTATTCATTTTCTGCAGTTGCCCACATTTGAGTAGCAAGATTCATCCTCCATTCATTGGCCTTTTCCCTCTGTTGATCTTGTGTCTGAAAATTATCCCATTCAAGATTGTCCTCGTCATCGCTAGGTGGGTCTTCTTCTGGATCCGGAGGAAATTCATCAGATCGACATTCACGTCGAAGAAAATTATGTACTCCTGCACATGCCAAAACTAATTCTGCTTGTGTTTTATAAGAGAAAGGAGGTGCTGTTTTGAAGATTGTGAAGCGTGACTTGAATATTCCAAATATCCGTTCAATCACATTCCTTAAAGAAGCATGACGAAGATTGAATAGTTCAACCGCATTAACAGGGTGATTTCCTTCACCACCAAAATCCTTTAGATGATACCGAGTACCTCGGAATGGAGCTAAAAATTGACACCGATTTGCAAATCCACAATCCCCCAAATAATATTTTCCTAGACATTGAATCATTACACAATTAGTCCATTATACAATGCAATAAGTAATTGGTAACAGAGATTTGGATAAACATGTTAAAGTGTACCTGGTGGCACTTTAAGACCATTTGGTCTTGAAATTGCATCATTTAACACTTTTGAATCATGGGCAGAACCCTCCCAACCGCTAAGCACATATATGAATTGCAAGTCAAAGTTGCAAGCAGCTAGTACATTTTGAGATATAGTCCCATGACGATTTCGATAGCTGTTCACTTCTCGTCCAGGTACTATTGCTGGAATGTGAGTGCCATCTATTGCTCCGATGCAATCCTAGCATTAGGAAAAGAAGAAATACCAAAAAAGTAATTAATCAATCATCATTAATCATGTAAAATTGGTGAAGTGCATTAAGAAAAGAAAAAATACCAAAAAAAAATTAATTAATCATCCTTAATCATCAATAAAGTTTTGCATTACTGACCTTGAAATGAGGATAAAACCTTGTACTCTCTCTGATGACATGTGGTATAGATTCCGGTTTGGCCATGAATTCGGGAGCTATTGTATTCAACGCTTTCAATACTTTGTTGAAGCTTCTGCTAATGCTGAAGTGTGACCGCTTAAATATCATTCTTGGTTGACAATAGCGGTTATTTTGGCCGATAATAAGTAAAAATGTTGCTACCATTTCTTCAACACAAATATATCTTGTATCTCGTAAAGGCGTTTTGTTTCTTAGGATACAACATAATTTTTGAAAAATGTTAGGATACATTCTGTATACATTTCTAAATGTTTTAGGATCTTCGGCCATTATTTCATCCATATATTTAATCCCATTAGCCGTCACAGGTCAGCGAGTCAATGGGCGTGGAACAGGTTCATCATTAATTCTTGAAGCGAGATTGTATATCAAGTAAGTTACTGCTTCTATTGCCATTAGCAATATCTTAAGAGTCCCATAAAACTCAACCTCATCTTCATCTGCTCCATACATATCTGTTTCACACATTGCTAAAAGAAGAATAAAGGCATAAACTTTAAAAAGTGAACTATGATATATTTTATAATAAAAGCATTCTAACGGATAATACATAAAATAGTTCAAATAATCCATATCTCTTTGCAATCCAAATAAATTAAATCATTGCAACAAAAGATAAAGTAAATACGCAACCGTGGCCTATTTATTATTAGATATCTCTAGAGGACAAATCTAATGAAGTTGTTTAACGATTGACAATTCAGTGATAGCGTTGTTCGGGAGTCATCCTTAAAAAGAAATCTTGCTTCGCTTTCGTATTCAGCAAATCAAGAGCTTTAAAGCAATCTTCGTCTGTTAATCCAGGGGTCTCTTTCATAGCATCCAAAAGATCACTGTCCCTTGTTTCTCTCTTCTCCATTAAATAACAAATTTTATCAAAACTCTTAACAATTTTATTAAACCCCATTGACAAGCTCTCAATAACTTCACCGTGACTATTAGGTTCCTTTGTTCTTCCATTGTTCTCAAAATCATTTCTACCCCTTTTTCCTTTAGCTCTATTGCTTGATGAAGGTGGATCCTTTATATTTCTACCACCATCTTGTGGAAGATATGATGAGTCCTCCTGATGGGATGATGCATTTTCACTCGGTGTGAACATGTTAGTATTTGGATCAAAAAATAATCCATCAATGCCAACAATTCCACCTGATTCATCATCTACTCATAACACTGTAGCATCTGTATTTTCACCAAGACCAATTGCACCCATCCCAGTTGCAGTTCCATTCCCCACTGCGATTCTCAGATCCTCATAGTCCGGACAAGTTTCTGACCGAAGGTGTGCATATTCTTTATGTGACTGATATAAAAAAATATAAAGTTTGTTATTATGATGTTATAAAATAGACACACAAATGAATAAAAAATGCCCACCTTCAGGTAGTCAGCCCATACTTCTTCGGAAGCGGTGAATTTCTTTGTGGCCGCATCCCATCCGAATCCAGAGTTGTGCCGCATAAGTTGAGAGTAATTGGAGTATTGTTTTTTAAACCATCTGACTCTACTTTGGTAATGATTAAAACTAATTTCATAACCAAGCTTTTGCTTAAGTTTAGGAAGGAGTCTAGTCTCTACCATTTGTTTACTTATCACTCCATTGATATCACGAAGGCCAAGTTTGGCACTTTCAACCATTAGCTGAAGCAAGACATTACTCTCTTCTATGGTCCAAGTTTTATAATCCTTTTTTTTGGCATTACCTTGTGAATCACCCATCTATAAGACATGCAAAACCAATCACACAAACAATAAACACAAACTCATACCCCTTGATCTTTTCAAAGATAAACTATATTAAGTTTTTGAACACATATTATATTGTCTACAAACTTAACTACAACACACTTATACATACAGAGGTAAAAACATAAAAAATGAACAAGAGTGTCTACAAACTTAAGTACAGCACATTATACTTATGCAGTGTTTCAGGTTAGTGCTTTTTAACAACTGATGAGATTTTACAACTGCGATTGAAAAGTCAAATAAAACCAAACCATTATTATCTACTTCTGTTCCAACTTATGGGTTGTAAATTTATACGAGTTGAAATCTTGTCCTGGTTAACGTTCCTTGTTAATGGTTCACACAATTCCGGATTTCAGCGTCAGTTTTAACATTCTGTACATCAAGATTAATAAAATACTAGAAAAATTGACATGATCGAATAAGTTATAACATGACAATAAACTTTCTATCATTTGTGAAAACATTCTGTTTATAAAGAAATACGAAGTGGATTATATCGACGAAAGGATCCATCCAAACAGACTATGGAAACAAAAATTCGGAGGCCCAACCTCATGGATGATGGGTGCCAAATATCTTACCACGTAATATTCAAAACAGGTTTCCATAATCATTTATGAAAAGAAGCAACCCACTAACAGTTTGGAGTCACGAAGTATATATGAAGAGAAACTATTCGCGGACAGTATAAATGAATGGAGAACAAATATCAGAAAAGAGTAAAAGAAGAAGAGAAGACTCTTACGTTTTTCTTGGAGAGGCGAGCAAAAGAAGAGGAGAAGAGAACCTAGGGAAAAGTCTGCGCGAAATCTCTACCGGAAGCACGAGACAATTGACGAGAACGATTATATATATGACTAGGTCTAAAGTCCATAAAAATCCATTATTTTGTAATTCCACAAGATTTGTTAATATTTTGAATACACCCGTACTTTTATCGACTTTTAGAAATCCTAATTGAATACGCCCGTACTTTTATGGATTTTTAAAAGTCCTAATTGAATACATCTAGATTTCTAAAATCCATAGACTTCTAAAATTTTACCACTAAATCCTAATACAATACACCCCCCTTTGTTTGGGTGAAGAGATAAATTTGGAATTTTGGATACATTTAAGTTTTTTTAGTTGATTAAAACATTATTAATTTGAGCGCTTTAGTTCAACTATTTAATTTATTGCGAGTTGAGCTTACGTTAAATTTGTTCTCCTATATTTAAATTTTATCTATTTCTGTGAAGATAAAAATGTGTCATCTTATATAGAGTGACTATATATTACGTAGTAATACTTTTAGTTACTATGACTTTGTTCATTTTTGCACTATAGTGACTATGATGTTACTATACAAACAATAGAATTTTGGAAAATAATGCCGTATCCTATTGGGTGCGTTGAGGTTATATTTATACTAAAATAGAGTTTACGGAAATTACAGAGTAATTCCTATAATTACATTATCACACCCCTTCAATCTGTGCAGGGGAAAACACGTGCAGATTGGAACGCAACAACTCAAAACGCTGACTAGATAAATTCTTAGTAAATATATCACCTAACTGTAATTGAGTAGGAATGTGCTTGACAACCAAGTCGCCATGCGCCAAGCGTTCCCGAACAAAATGATAGTCAATCTTGATATGCTTGCTCCGATCATGCTGAATA